CCATCGACTGGACACCCTCATCGAGGGCTCCCTGTGCCAGGTGCTGGCGTGACAGCAAAGACCTGGGGAGATCGCACCCTGCCGTCCACCCAGGAGGGACAGTCTTGTAGGAAAGACCAATACTAAACACGTGAAAAATAAGTGTCATGGGTGGTAACTATGATAAGTGATCCTAATGGCCAATGATTATTGAGTTATGTTCACAGCAGCCGTAGGGGAAAACTGTGAGGACAGGGGTGTGCGGTCCATGGGGTTCAATTCATATTTGGCACACAGCAGGTGCTCAATAAAGAACTGATGCAATGATCATATAGGTAGGGGCTATTATTATGCCCATTTTACAGATGAGGAAACTGAGGGGCAGAGAGGTCAGGACACTTGCTCACAGTCACACAGCACAGGACAGAGGTGGGATGGGAACCCAGGCTCTCTAGCTTTAGGGCCTACTCCCACGAACCCTGTGCTAATAGAAGTGAGACAGTGTGGAGGGGCTCCTTAAATGGGTGATTGGTGGGGTGGCGTTGGGCAGAGCCCTGAAAGATGAGGAGGAGCTGGTTAGGTGATAAGCCGAGATGAAAATTCATGGCAGTGGGAACAGCCGGTGCAAAGGCCCTATGCCTGGAACCAGTGTGGGAAGTTCAGGGAACAGAAAGCAGCTGGTGGGACTAGGGTACAGAGAGAAGAGAGGGTGGAGGAATTGACGAGTGGGCCAGGTGAGGAGGGGAAGTGGGGTTGGCATCCTGCCCAGACCACTGTCCTTCCCTCTTGAGAGCAGGATGGTGTCTGGAAGGGACCCAGAGGGCTGTGAGCTAGCGTGTGACAGATGCGTCTGTCACCCTTCATGTGCACGGCACAGACTCTGCACCCGGAGTGTCTCACTGGAAGCTCTGAGCCACCGTTAACCAAGAGGCAAAAACCATGTGGTGTGCTCGGAGCACCCTCGGAAACCCTCAGGAAGGCGCTGCATCAGCGAGCACCCTGGTGAGCCCCTAACTGCTCCCCAGCCTTCCCCCTGTTTCCACACTCCCCCCTCAGTGTGTGAAGGCAGCTTACTTCCCACAAGACACTGCCGTGAGTGATTCAGGGGCATCAGTCAGGTAATATCTCAACTGCTCTGTTTTCATGGCCCCATTTTACAGATAAGGAGACTGAGGCCCAGCACAAACCCCACCCCCGCGAGACTGGTAGGCAGCAGCCTGAGGCCCAGCACAAACCCCACCCCCGCGAGACTGGTAGGCAGCAGCCTGAGGCCCAGCACAAACCCCACCCCCCGAGACTGGTAGGCAGCAGCCTGGGACCCTCGCCCAGAGGCTGGTTCCAGGGCTTTTGAGAGAGCAATGACATTTCCTCGGCGGCCAGGACGGTCACTGGCCTGTAGTCAGAGTCCACACTCCCAGGGCTCAGACCACAGGCGTCCAGCGCGGTCGTGCCCACACCACGTGGGCCCCTACGAAAGTGCCACAAAGACTTCTCAGTCATCCAGATACCCAGGGCAATGAGTATCCGGGAAATGAACTCACTTGTTGACAGCGTGCCTGCAGGGTGGGAATGCGGGGCTGGGGGGGGGGGGTGGGGGGAGGGCCAGGGAGGGGACCAGCTACTAGCTGGGTCCTAAGACCTGCACCTTTAAATTCAAGCTCTGGAGGGGTGGGCGGGAGACCTGGGAGCTGAGGCTCTCCCCCTGCAGCTCAGGGAGACTGCCCCTGTCACCTTGGTTGGATTCTCTGACTGCACCGAGAGGAATATTCCTGGCTCCAAACCAGGTCTGATGCGGATTCTGAGCACATCAAGCGCCCACAGGCTTGCCTGGGTGCTGGCACTGAGAAGCAGGGACCCAGAGGCCACTGGCTGAGGCCACGGTGATGGCCACCGCCGTCACCCCCTCCCCACCCCTGCAGGGGGACAGGTGCTCACAGGTATTCCAGCCCCTGCCCAGCCCCCTGGGCCACTGAGTGAGGGCCCTGCTGATTCCGGCTACCCTCACACGTTCTCAGCCACAGACCACAGTCAGAGAACCAAAAGAACTGCCGACATGCGTGGTATGAGGCACAAGAGCTCACAGACTTTGTTGCTGGGATAGAAACCTGAGAACAAACTTCAGAGGTGTGTGCTCAGTTGCTAAGGCATGTCTGACTCTGCAATCCCATGGACTGTAGCCCACCAGGCTCCTCCTCTGTCCATGAGATTTTCCAGGCAAGGATACTGGAGTGGGTTGTCATTTCCTTCTTTGGGGGATCTTCCCAATCCAGGGATCAAAATCACGTCTCCTGCATTGGCAGCCGGATTCTTTACCACTGAGCCATCAGGTAAGTCCAAACTTTAGAGGACTGGTTGGCAAATCTGTCAACTCGTGACATGTCCCATTCATGCCTGTCACCAGGCTCCTGCAGGGCTGAGCCCCTTACATACTCACACCGCAGTAACTGGGCGTTCCGGCTGCTCCTGACTACGGTGAAATATTAGGAACAGCCTGCACGTCTGGGCCGGGGTCTGGCTAGCGGATGTCAGTCACATCTATGCAGTGAAATGCGGTGGGTGGACAGAAAGAACCAGGCAGATAAAGACGTTCCAGTACCGACCGTTCCCCAAGACAGACTGGGAAGTGAAAACGGCAGGACACGCAGCAGTGGACAGCAGGTTGTCATCCATAGAAATAAGGGGCCGAGGCCCCAAGCCCTTTTATGTGCCCAGACAACTTCTGGAAGAATCCTTAGGAAACGAGGGAGACGATCGCCCCTGTGGACCCTTCTGTATGGCCTGAATATTTTGCCGTGGATGTTACTTACTCAGAAATAAAATAATGAAAACAGGCCCAGAAGGACTTGCGGCTCAGCCGACAACCCCAGGAAGGCATGGGGCTCTTTTGTCCCCCTCCACCGCGGCCTGAAAGCCTGCTGTTGGGCCGGCGCAGCGGGCCTCAATCCGGTGCTTTGTTTTCCTCTGATGCTCCGGCGGCGGCTGGGCCAGGGAGCCCCTCCCGGGGGCAGCCAGCGCTTGAGAGACCCGCTGGGCACGGCTCTGTCTGGCAGAAGCTGGGTCACACTTACAAAGGGGCCCTTCTCTTCACTGGCAGCCCTAGACCTGAATATCCAGAGTCAGTGGGCCCCCGGGGGCGGTCTGCAGAGGGTGGGTAGAAAGGAGTTCCCCCCTCCTCCTTGCAAATCCCTGCTGGTCTTCCTGCACCTCTGGGTCTGATGCACTGAGGTGTCATTCCCCGGAAGACCACCAGAGACCGCCCTCTGCCCGCAAATTGGGGGCAGGATGCAGGAAGGTTTCTCCCACACCAGCCTGGAAGAGACCTGGTCTTCTCCTGGTGGGGGTCTCTCCTGGCAGGGGCAGCAACCTCTGCTCTTTACCAGCTGGGCCGGATGCCAAGGCCCTACAGTCTCTGGGGCTCCAGACTGAGGGACCACATCCCCGGCCTAGTGCCTCCCACAGGGTGTGGGGCCGGGGGAACCCCTGGTGCCGGGGAAGCCAGGGGAGCAGACAGAGGAGGAGGCATGGAGGTGCAAACCAGGAGCAATGTACCTGACCCGCTCCCTCTGGGTGGGTATGGAGAAACTTCACAATAGCACTGCGTCTGATAAATGAACTTGACTGGGCCAGGAGCTCCATGTCCTGATGGTGGGGGCCTGATCCCCAGTAACCCTCAAAGCTGGAAGGTGAGAGCCTGGTTCTACTGCCACCCAGCCTAGACCTAGAGATTTGATGCCCTCAGAGCCTGCACCCCAAAAGGGATTCAGGACACCCCAAGCCCCAGAGGCAGGTAAAGGCACCCGAATTTCAGAGCAATTTGGCTGGGAGGAAGCGGCTCTGGGGGTCCCTTGAGTGCAGACAGCACGGACTGTGGCTGTGCCCTCCCAGATGGCTGCAGAAGCGCTGGGGCAGTTGGGCAGGGGTGGCCAGAGACTGTTCCTCACCCAGAACCTGTGGCCAAGTCCTGCCAACCACGGGGCTGTGGATGCCCCCTGAATGCTTGCACTGGCCTGAAATCCACCTGAAGCTCGAGAATGCTAATAGCCTGGGAGAGGAGACCTGCCAGCACCCTTCTAGGAGACTGCCGAGGGCCAGGTGCGGAGGCAGGGAGCCCAAGTGAGGGCAACTGCAGGGCGGAAGCCTCAGAAGGAATCTGCTTAATCCATCGGCCCCCTTGTGCCCACGTCCAGCCTCCCCGGGCCCGGGGGTGGAGACCTATAAAGTGTGATCTAAATCTTCTAAGTCTCAAGGAGGAGGCTCCAAGCCTGGCGGACTGAACTGGGGAGGGGACGTGGGAAGAGGCCACTGCGCAGCCCCTCTATATGGTTTCTAAGCCAGTGGGACACAGCTGATACTGGGTGAGGGGAAGCGCAAGATAAGGTGGTGGGGCTACATCCGAGCCTGCGGGGGGGGGGGGGCACCTCATCAGGTTCAGGACGGGGAAAAGGGTGGCAAGGCAAGGCTGGCCGTCCTGGGGGTGGAAGGGAACAGGAAATAGGGCCAAGATCCATGCCTAGTGGAGGGTTGGGGGGTCGGTTCCCTTGTTCCTCAACATCCTCAACGGAGCAAACTCGAAACCACCAGATTTTCGGGGCGCCCACACTCCGCAGCTCCGTCCTTTGCTCTGTTGTGGGTGCGCACCTCCCACCCCGCCACTCCCACTGGGAACGCACGCGGGACGCCCAGCTCTGGGCGGCTGCGACTGCTGTCCCATCCGCCTCAGGGGCCTCTTTGGGGCTGCACGTAGTCGGAGACAGGGCTCCGGCCAGGTAAGCCGCCAACCTCCGCGGGTTCCTGTGACTGCGGCGGGCTCCCAGCGCACGCAGCCAAGGAGGGACCCAGCGCACCTCTCCCAGATCCGGGTGGGCGCGCGTCAGACACTCAGCCTACGACCCAGCCTACGACCCAGCCTCAGCTTTCCCGCCCAGGAAATGGGTCCAGGGCGTCCGGTTCCCGCAAGCGTCGAGGCGCCCTGATGGTGTCTCCCCGGCCCGCGGGAGCCCGCCTCCCGGCCGCACACTCACCACTCCCAGGCTGAGGTCCTCCGCGCGGGGCGCGGGCGCTGCGCAGCCCCCACGGGCGGCCAGCGCAAGCAGCAGCAGCGGCAGCGGCGGGACCCCGGCCCGGGGAAACGGAGGGCCGGGTCCCCGGGCGGCGCGGCGCCGCATCACGCTCAAAGGGCGGGCGGCGCAGAGGTGGCAGTCCCCCCGCGCCCGTGCGCCCCGCGCCCGCGCCCGGCTCCCGGCCCGACTGAGCCCAGCGCCGCCTCCCAGCGGCGGGGCGGGATATGCTAATATATGCTAATTACCGCCAACGGCACTCGCCCCGCCCTCCTTAAAGGGTCCGCGTCCCGCTCCCGCCAGAGTCCTGCGCCCCCCAGAGGATGCTCAGATTCCACACACGCCCCCGCCCGGCGAATCCACACGGGGACCTTGGCTGCGGCGGCCCGAAGGAAGGCACTTCTCGAGTGTCCCCGGACGGCCCCCGGGGAGGCGGAGGCCTGCGAGCGGGAGCACAGAATTCGGAGCTCGGGGCCGCTCCCCGGGGGACGGACCCCTCCTCTCCCTTCAGACCGCGCGAACGCGGACCTCGAGCTGAGCACGGATTCGCGGTCACTGGTGGGGACCCGGAGCGGCAGCCGCAGCGCACCCGGCGGACGCTTGGGGGAGCCTTTGCACCGTGGTAGAAAGGAGGTGGGGGCTGGGTGGGCGTGAGCGGTGGGGGTCGGGTGAGGGGCGAGGTGCAATAGTGGGAGGGGTCGGCGTAGGGGTGGGCGCCGGGAGGGGATCCGGGGGTGGCCGAGGGGGCGGAGCCGGGCTGCAGTGTGGCTGGGGCGGGGGGAGCTTGGGAGAGGCTGGGATGAGAGAATGAGACGCTGGGGCGGTGGGGTCTGTGCGCTACTGGGGGTCAGCGAGGACCAGGGGTCTGTGCTAATTGTGGATGTGGGGAGGGCAATGTTAATAGCTGACGCCTGTTGGGAGGTTAGTGTGTCCCCTGCACTAGTTAAGCGCCTACCGTATATACCCGTTTACTTCTCACAACATCTTTCGAGATAGAAACTATTATTCCATTTTTCAAATGAGGAAACTGAGGTCTCAGAGGAATAAACTAACTTGTGGGAGGGCACAGAGCTAAAGGATCAAAGGATCCCCAGGGCATGCGGAGACCGAGGTTCCAATGCAGATATTCCTACACCTCAGTTACAGTTCCTACAACCTCTCCCCTCCCACATCCCACCCCCACTCTTAGCTCCTGCTGTCGATTATGGTCCCATTCTAGAGGCCCAGGCGCTTCTGAACCCACGTCCCCCAGTCTGAGGGAGCGGTGGCCCCTCCACTCAAGTGTGGTCTGGGTTTCAGGGCAGGGCTCTCTCCCTACTGGCTCCCCTCTGGGGGGGTCTTGCTTATCCTACTCCCCCCCGCCAACCCCCACCCTTACTCTCAGAGCCTCAGTGGCCTGTTCTGGAGCATGGAGACTCTGCACCTGCTCAGAAGACCATTATATTCATCTGCTGAGATCGGGTTCAGCAAGGACTCTTCCCTGACCATTCACAGGCATACCCCCCAATTTTGCTCAAGTGCTAGTGGCAAAAACCTAGCTCAGACTGGCCTAGTCAGGGAAAGGAAATTTATAGGCTCAGTAAACTGGGGCATTTCGGAGCATATTGACGTCAGGCAGGGATGGATCAAGTTGAACAAAGACGTGATCAGAATATGGTTTCTTTCTCCATCTCTGTGTTGGCTTCATCCTCAGGCAGCATTTCTCCAAACGGCAGCAAAGGCAGTTTAGCAAATCCAGCAGACTGACTCTCAAGCCACAGTCCCGGGGCTGTCTCTCATTGGATGCTGTGGGCCATGTGCCCATCCCTGAACCAACCATGTGTTCAGGGGATGGAAGTGAGCAGAACCGCCTGCCCTGGTGGTGGAGAGGAAGGGGAAATTGCCATCTAAAGGAAGCTTGAAATGCTGATATCAGAGTAGAGGAGGGTGGGTAGCAGGAAGGGCTGGATCAAGGGGCGCCAAAGAGATGCTGGAGCAGTCAACCCCATGATGTAACAGAGTCCTTCCTGCATTTGAGAACTTTGAGAGGAACACTAACTGAATGGCTCTAGGAGGCACTGAGAATGGCAAAGAGTGAGGGCTTGTGGCAGGGGCTTAGGGTCACAAGCATAAGCAGAGCCTGCAGGCAGACATGGTTCTCCCCAGATAGGTCCAGCTGGTGGCTGGGGAATGGTGCAGGACACGTCGGGGGGCGTGTCACTTCATGGTGGGGCTGTGTGGCTCACCACGGCTGCTGCTTTCTCTTCAAGCCTGCCAGTGAATTCTGGCATTTGAATGTGGCCTGAATCCAAGCAGTGATGAGAGGCCACTTTCACTCATCAGATGGGCAACATTGAGAAAGTCATCTATCATCATGTGCCAAGGAGGGAAGGGGGGACTTCGGTGCTCCTGGAAGGGGTACCAGCTGGTGCAGCCTCGCTGGGAGGCCATCAGGGAGCAGCTATTAAAATTTAAAAAGTACATTTTCTATGGCCCAGCATTCTTGGTTTCTGCCCTAGAAAAACACTCCCATCTTTGCACAAGAAGGCTGATATAGGATGTAATATAAAAAAAGAAAAAAATCAGAAATCACCTAAATGTGTGTGGTGATGCTGGCTGGCTGTGGTCAAGGATGAAGGTGAGGGCAGGAGTGGGGCTATGTCTTACTGCAGATATGGGCGCCTTTTGTAAGACCCACAGGTGCTGTGTAAGGTGGTGGCTGCCCTGGGCTGACCACACTGGAACATACCCCAGAGATGGAGCATTGCACTGAATGAGGAAGAATGGACTAGATCCAGGTGTACCAACTTGATATGTTGTTGAGTAAAATAAACAAATTATGATAATGGTTTTTCCGGTAGTCATGTATGGATGTGAGAGTGGGACCATAAAGAAGGCTGAGCACTGAAGAATTGATGCTTTTGAACTGTGGTGCTGGAGAAGACTCTTGTGAGTCTCTTGGACTGCAAGGAAATCAACTAGTCAATCCTAAAGGAAATCAACCCTGAATATTCACTGGAAGGACTGCTGCTGAAGCTGAAGCTCCAATACTTTGGCCACCTGATGCAAAGAGCTGACTCATTGTAAAACACCCTGATGGCTGGGAAAGATTGAGGACAGGAGGAGAAGGGGACGACAGAGGATGAGATGTTGGATAGCATCACTGACTCAATGGACATGAGTTTGAGCAAACTCCTGGAGATAGTGAAGGACAGGAAAGCCTGGTGTGCTGCAATCCACAGGTCACAAATTGTCATACCTGACTTAGCTACTGAATAACAACAGCAATGATTTTTAAAAAAGCAGGGAGTGGTAAACCTTCCCAAAACAACTGTATATTTACATTTACCAGTTGTACCATATGCAAACACACATTATCTCTTCCGAGCTCCTTGATCCAGCCTTGCCGGCTGTCCATGCTTCTTTTCTCTGACTTCAGCACCTCCCTTAGAAGAATCCCCCTCTGAATCTGTCAGCCCAGGGGGTTTAGTGATGTTGACCCCACTCCAGCCCAGGTTGGGTCAGTTGCTGAATTCCATCCCCCCGGCCATCTGCTTGTTTCAGGGATGGACACACGACCCACTTCCTCCACTGAGAGACAGCACTGGGGCTGTGGTTTTAGCTCTTAGTTTCTCGCTGCAGGCCGGGCTGGCTAAGCTGGAAGGACGTGGGCTGCAACTTTCCTGGGCCGTGTGTGTGCACATGTGTAAAAGCAGAGGAAAAAGTCTGGAGGAAGTGTGTGAAAGCAAAGGGTGATGACCTCAGGCGAGGGGACGACCCAAGCTCCACCTGCGTCCCTGGGAGCCCAGGCAACGTCCAGGTGTGACGCTCCCTCCTGCCGCTTGCACTGCGGCTCTTGGTCCTAAGGGCCTCAGGCTTCAGGATGTCCATCTCCCGTAACTCTGAGCTCATGACTAACTGTGGGGAGATGCTTCTGGCCCTTGGATATGACCTACACTGTCCACAGACACTGGTCCTCATGCCTCCTGCCCTTCCTAATCCCGCTGCCCGGCCAGGTTCTTGGGGGGAATCTTCCTCCAAGTTACTGGGTCTGCTCAGGGGACGGGGCATGGACTATCGGGTACCAGGACACAGAGGGGACCAAGGCCTTCAGCGTCTCGGCACAGTTTTACATTCTTACCAGAAGCAGCTGTTCCTAGATTGCTTGTGTAACTGAAGGTCAGTGGGAAGAGCTGGGTAAATGTGTGTGTTGGATATGAAGTGTCGACTTGCTCAAGGACATCACTTCTCTGAGCTGGGCCCCGAGGGGAGATGGGGACCCTTAGACCAGGCCTGAGACCTTCACTCTAGCAGAGCGATGGGGCCCAGGCCACATGCCTGACCCCCTGCCTGTGGGGCTGACACTCAAGGGGCCGGGGCGGGGGTGCGGTGTGGATGAAACAAGGGTGCAGAGTGGAACAGTGGTTCCCAGAGACACCCAGGCCTCATCCTTGGAACCCATGGATGTTCCCTTATGTGGCAAAGGGTGCCTCGTAGATGTGATTAGGTTATAGAACTTCAGATGGGGGTGCTCACAGTGGGTCCTTATTAGAGGGAGGCTGGGGATTTCCCTGGTGGTCCAGTGGCTAAGACTCCAGTCTCCCAATGCAGGGGGCCTGGGTTCCATCCCTAGTCAGAGAACTGGATCCTATGTGCTGCATCTAAGATCTGGTGCAGCCAAATAAATATATATTCAAAATGAAAAAGAGGGAGGTGGGAGGCTCAGAGTCAGGGGACAAGTCCATGTGGTGATGGAAGCAGTGGTTGGAATGATGCAGCCTGGAGCCGAGGGGACGCAGCTGCCTTTAGAGGCTGGACACGGTGAGGGCAGAGCCTCTCTGCGAGATGGAAGGAGCCAACCTGCTCACACCTTGTTTTCATTCCCACAAAACTGTCTCCAGACCCTCCAGCCTCCAGACTGTGAGAGAGAATAAATGCATCTTGCTTTGCACCACTAGGTTTGTGGTCACAGATACTCAGCCACAGGAAACCTCTGTGCATCTTTATCAGGTGGTGAGATGGGTGGGGTTGGGGGAGTCAGGAGGGAAGGCAACATTAAATGGGGTGTCAGCTTCTCAGAGGCCTGAGGGAAGAGCAGTCTGGTGGGGGGCCAGCCCATGCAAAGGCCCTGGGGCAGTCGCTGTGCATCAGAGGTCCAGGCGTGGGGCTGAAGGGCCGAGAGAGGAGGGGTGGTTTAAAACTTGTCCTGGCACTCTGTGCTGTGCTTCCCCAGGGGACCACACCCCTCCCGCTCGAACCTGGGTGAGTCTCATGTCCTCCTCCATCAATAGGTGAGCCTGAAGGACTCATGTGGAGATTTCCGAGGCTGCCTTAGAAAAGGCCATGGGCTTCCTTGGACTCCCCACACACTCACTGAAAGTCACAATTTTGGTGGGGTGGAGAGAGGGAGAGGGAGAAGGTGAGGAGAGAGAGGTACATGGGAAGCCCCAGATGTTACAGCTGGGTCTCTGTCTTCCCGGCTCAGGAGCCAACTTGTGGGTGGAGAAGCTTTTGCATGGTCTGGGGGTGTCTGTGGGAAGACTCTGAGGAGTACCCCTAGGAGACAGGATGGGTGAGAGGTGTTTAGTGCTGCCACATTTGGGGTATTTTGCTGGCATGTAGATGCTGTATTAGTTCATTAGAGACACTGTAACAAGCATCACAGACATTTATTT